GTCATGTCCGAACTCTAAAGTCTGAATCTTATTCGAGCATCTTAACTAAAGTCCTGATCCTTGATTCTGAGCATAGACAACGTAATATGTTTATAACTAAAAACTGAATCAGCACTTACCTGTCGTCGGCAGGGCGTGAGCATGACGGTTCGGGTTTTTCTGAAAAATTACTGACTGAAAACTTATCAGAGACGCAGAAACGTGCTCTGATACCAATTGTAACACCCCTCCTTACTGTAAAATCAGAGTGCGCTAAAATTCGCAAAGTCTTTGAAAAATAAACCTTTTTACTTTGCGAAAACTGATTCGGGGTGCTACCTTTAAATATCGTGACTTAACTTAGAAAACCGTTGTTTTAATTTAATAAAAACGTCCAGTTACTGAAACCATGAGTTTCTTAAAAAGTTCGTCAAAACCATCAAACATCATCAAAAGTTATCAAAATATAAGCGGAAGCGTAAGTTATAATCATATTTATACAGTCCAAAACATATATAAATATCCTGAAGTCCCGTCACGTCACGTCACGCTCCCGGCCCGACATCCTGACCTCAAAAACATAATAAAACTGGGGAGTGAGCACTAAGGCACTGTGCTCCGTGGAAACTCATACTAATGTAAAACATTGTAAATAATAACAATATCATGAACTAAGCATATATAACTGAACTGAATCTGATACCGGTCTGAACTCGCGACATAAGTCATGTAACTGATAACTGATCTCGTGACATAAGCCACGTAGTGATATAAGTCACATCTGAACTGAACATCTATCGGCGAACCGGACACCATGTGCACACTCTAGTGGGCAGACTAGGGCCACTAGAACCCAGAATGGACCGGCGACCATTCCGAGCGGATACTGAATATACATACCTCGAACATGGTAGCGTAATTATAAACAATGTAGTACTTAGTCTGAGTTCCCACCTGACTGCTGAACTGAAAGGTAGTGCTGATGCCTGCTAAACTGAAAATAATATAAAGAATTACTATTGACTATGCTCAGACTGTTAACTCAACTGATTAATTTCGTTAAGATGCTCTATTTAACTTAACATGATTTTTAGACTTATCCAGAATAACCGGAACTGACTTAACTGGAACTGATTGGACATGATTTTACTGAATTGAAATAATCTCAGAAATTTAACTGAAATTGACCTTAATTGAGAAACCGGGCATAAAACGGCCGAACCGGATGAAAATGAAGCTGAACCGGTCCAGCCGGTCTGAACCGGTCTGGACCGGCCTGTGGTCCGACCGAACCGGTGTTCGGCTGGGCTCGGCCAGCAGCTTGCCGCGTGCAGCGCGCAGCGTGCACGGGCGTTGCTGGTGTACCGGGC